ACCTAGATAAAACAACAGCCCGTCTTACAAATGATGACAGGGTTTTTATCCTGATCTCGTTTCACAACATTTGTAAGACAACTGTTGTTTTATCTAGGTGCTTTTAGTATATGACAGGTTTTTTATCCTGATCTCGTTTCACAAATACTAAAAGTACCTAGATAAAACAACAGCTGTCTTACAAATGTTGTGAAACGAGATCAGGATAAAAAACCTGTCATATACTAAAAGCACCTAGATAAAACAACAGCCATCTTACAAATGTTGTGAAACGAGATCAGGATAAAAATCCTGTCATATACGAAAAGCACCTGTCAAGTGATATTTTTACATTTTTTGTTTTCCACCGATACCCAAAACCCAAATCAATGTTATAGAAGTAATTTTAATCCAAAAAATACATCATACAAACCATACTGTCATTATACATTATATAATCACATTTGTTTCTTTCTATTCAGCAACAGAATAATTATATAATCTTAAGGAAAGTATATGAGAACAGTCCCTTTATCAGTGTATATCTCATAACATCAAAACCAGACCTGAAGCATTACTGCAGATATCATTTCTTATTTTCTAGCTAAAAGTTTAAACTTTCTCTCACCCTTATTACTACTGTACACAAAGGATCTTTGTCAGATAGAGTTTTTATTATTTCCTTTTCATCATTGAGCTCCCTTACAAAATAGTTAGGGTAGAAGGCTCCAGCAATGACGATCTGAAAGTTGAGAAAAACAGTAAAATAGATCAGACAATTATTCAAGTCTTATTAACAATACAGGCTAACAGAATAAATAGTCAATCTTAAGATTGCACAAAACAATGTAAAACTATACAGCAATTGTTCAAGTCTTATTAACAATACAGGCTAACAGAATAAATAGTCAATCTTAAGATTGCACAAAACAATGTATTACTATACAGCAATTATTCAAGTCTTATTAACAATACAGGCCAACAGAATAAATAGTCAATCTTTGTTAAAATTCCACAAAACAATTAAAAACTATACAGTAATTACTTAAGTCTTATTAACAACTACCTGGAGTACCTGTCCCCTGGATAGAAGTTATGTAAATTCATGATTAATGAAATGTTGTCTTAAGACATGAAAAGTTGCTTCCCTTATATGTATTGTAAAAAATACAAAAACGCCCATACAAACTGCAAAACATAAAATGTGAAACCTCAAGTTTGTGAACCCGACAAACCTTTATGGTAAATTTGGTAAAGATCCATTAACGGGGTCAAAGAAGTGGTAAAAAACACAAAATGTGAAACTTTAATTTGCATGTATCTCTCCATTGACCTGACAAACCTTTATGGTAAATTTGGTAAAGATCCATTAACAGGGGTCAAAGAAGTGGTAAAAAACACAAAATGTGAAACTTCAAGTATGCATGTATCTCCATTGACCTGACAAACCTTTATGGTAAATTTGGTAAAGATCCATTAACAGGGGTCAAAGAAGTGGTAAAAAACACAAAAATGCCAATAAAAAACCACAAAACTGTAAATTTGTATGCATCTCCCCCTGAACCCAATGAACTTCCATACCAAACAATTAGTCCTGTCATCTACTGATCAGAAATGAAACTGTTATTTATGAACCATGGAAATAATACATGGTTATAAACTGAACTCACTGTAAGTATTATCACTGCTAAGTAGTAGTATTCCTTTTTATTATTTCCCCAGAAAAAACGTGGTAAAAGAACAGAATAATATTACTGTTATACAAGCTATGAAACACTCGATAATGACAATTACATACTCAAATAAGGCAATAACTCAACTTTGGCAGTTATTTCTAGGTATCATAGAGTAATAGATTGAATACAGCAGCCATTTTTTTTTCTTGGTCCATCTCTACATTCTAAGCATGTTTAAGCTAAAATACAACAATAAATCTAAATACCCCCTCATTTATGGAACTCCATAATATGATCAAATGTTAAATAAAGATTCCACTTAGATTAAGCTATCATAAACAGATAAATCTAAACAACCATCTCACATACATAAACTGTCACACAATGATTAAGTTTAAACACCCCCATAATGTAACTAAGGGTTCACTCACCTCTATCATATTATTGCAGCCCATCTCAACATAAGGAAATCATTAACAGAAACTAACATATCAAAGACTTCATCTATATCATGTTATCACAGCCCACCCAAATCTAGAAAAATTATTAATATAAACTAAAGTAACAAAAGTTTTCACAAAGTCAAACCCATTTACCTTGTTTGTGGGAGATAGAAAGAGAGTAAAGTAGGGAATAAGTTTGGATTTATGCTATGTGATCATTAGGATAACCATGATGGCCGGTACAGATCACTATGAAATGCTGCTGGCTGATATGGCTCGGGTAAAACTATGACTGGTCTAACAAGCCAATAGTCGATATCCAAATTGTTTAAGTTAACCAAAGTAGATAGAAATGTATGAACCAAAAGGATAAACGGACTGGCACAGATAAAGGACTAAAAGTAAGATTAAGGAATAAAATAGGAACATGTAACATATGTGGACTTAGAGACAAAAAACCAGAGATCGTGGAATTCATGATCAGGCATAAGGTAAGAGTTATGGGCATGTCAGACTACTGAAGTAAAGGGCACAACATGAGAGAAATAGATTGGAATTATGTTCTAATATTGAGTGGAGTTGGAGCACATCAAATAGTGGTACAGGGAGTGAATTCAGTTGTGCATCCATAAACAGTCAGACTGACCTCATATCCGAAATATATGTCAGAAAGGATCAGATTAACCCTTTTGCAATAGGTGCCCCTATGCAAATTACTGTGTTGCATACAAAATATAATTAAACACTTTTACTATCAATGTATATGAATGAAATTAATATTATAATATGCATTATGATTCAAAGTTTTCTGTTATCTAAGTTTTAAGTTCTTTATTTCAAAAGAAACCTATGAAAAAACTACTTAAACTTCAGCTTATTGTCAAGTGACCAATGAGCTATGAAAATTCTCTACTTTGGCTCTGTAACTTCAATAATACAATGATAGTTGAGTAGAGGTACATCTAGACAATAAGATGCTTATACAACCTTTGGACTTGTACAGTTGAAACAAGTAATAAATTTTTTAAACCTCTGATAGATGCCATGCCCACCCTCAACAGCTTTATTTGAGCTTTATAGACTACATGTAGATGTGACATACACATGTACACTGAGTGGTCACAAGTAAATAGACACCTAAGTTTTCGTCATTTAACTGATTTATGCTAACTAATTTGTGTTCACAGAGCACTATTTAAATGAAAATGGTCCGCACACTAATTATCTTGTGCTACAATATGCTTAGAACTCAAAGTTCTCTCAAATTGTCAGATCTTGCTAGAGGAAGGATAGTTGGTCAAGCAGATGGTGGAATAAGTCAGCGGTAAATTTTGCAGAATTTGGGAATCCCGCTTTCGACAGTCAACAGAATCATCGTGCAGTTCAGGAAACAACTGAGCAGCGTCCGGGTCCATCGGAGAGGACAAAAAGGGCTGTCAAAAGGAGCATCAAAATGGATCCCAGATTAACGACTGTAGAAGTGGCCAAAGTTGGAGGGATGAGCCCGAAATCTGTTCAACAGATTCTCCACAGATTGGGTTATCGTTGCAGAGCAGCTAGACAGAAGCCCTTATTAAGACCTGCCAACATAGT